GAAGGGGACATAGCTCTACGAGGCCACCCTCAACCCGGCCTGGCATCTCCTGGGGCACCTCAGCACCCAGAGATGCTGGTGTCAGGTGGGGAATGAGAGTGGCACCTGTGAAGCCTACACACAGGGCCAGCTGTGCAGTCAGGAGGATGCAGGGACCCTTAGCCAAACATGCCCATGATTGCATTTCTCACCTGTGAGCTGTCGTCCTCCAAGGATTTCAGAAGAAGCAGCAGCACCATCTTGCCTGTTCCAGGGAGCTGTTATAGAACCAGGCCAGCTCTCGCCCTGGATGAGCTGACTTTTCTGGCCAAGAAGGGCCGTAGCACACCATGGCCATGCAGGTCTTTTTATAGCTCTTGGGTTACTGCACGCTCACTCGGCTGCCAGGTAGCTGTGCCAAAAAGCCTGTCATCCCAAAAGCCAGCATCTGGCAGGTGACTGCCTGTCCCTGGAATCCTCCTGCAGACACCTGATGCAGGGATGGGTACTTGTGTGTCAAGCCAGCAGGGCAGTGCTGTCCTGAGAGCAAGTCTGGTTCCACCCTCCCGCTGGACAGCAGCTGCTAGCAGACCTTCCCAGGTCCTCTGGCCCCGCTCACCCAGTCACACTGTCCCTGGGAGCTCCCTACATGCTCAGGGCAGGTGGGACAGTAGCCCAATGCTCACCAGGAGAGAGTCACGAAGCCGGTCCTTCCTCTCTGTACCCCAAGGCCTGTGGGAGCCGTATAAAGAGCTTGCAGGGCTCAGCGGTCCACCTCTTGCCTAGTGTGTTTGAGGCCCTGAGTTCTAGCCCCAACCCTGGAAGTAAGGTGGTTTCTGATTCTGGATGGCAGCAGTGCGTGGCCAGCTCTGGGCAGTGTCTTGCTGTTCAGCAGTGACCTCAGCAGGGCGCAAGTTACAGCCCCTGGGATGCAACAAGGAGCTGTGCCGGGCTGGGGCATCGAGAGCCTCCAGAGGCACAGCGGTGCCACATTGGCTCCGGCGCCCCTGAGAGGGTCCTCTGTCCACTCACCAATATGCCTGTGCCACCAGGACTAGTGCAGGGGCCACGGATGCCCGGACTCTGCATCACATGGTGGTCACACAGGTCCCCGGGGAGCCGGGGGCTGCATATTTATCAGCTGAACTCCAAAGGAACTGCCAGGCATTTCATTTTGTCTCCCTGAAGGTTTTGGCGTCTGTACGTCAGGGCCTCCCCGGCCCATCTACAGTTGTGGTCTTTTCCCTTGTCAAGATAGGGTTTCATAGAGGCAGGTTGGGTAAAGTATATTTCCGTCCTGATAAAATATATTAAAATATATTTCCATTCTAAGTAAGCAGTGACTGTTTGGAATGAGTCACCGCGATGCACAGTAATTAGGAATCCGCGAGTCCGAGATGACATTTGCTGAGGCCTGAGCCTGCTCCTGCCGCTGACCTGCGTCTCCTGACCACAGATTTCCCCAGAAATGTGACTTCCACTTGCAGCCATGGAAGCCAGGGGTACACTTTGGGGTTCTCCCGAAGGTGCTGTGCAGCTCAGAAAATGCAAGCTTGGGCAAGGAGAATCCAGGCGAGCAGAGAGCAGCGGGGGTCCCTGCACCCCAGAGGCCTGCCTGGTGCCCTGGGACGTACTGGGGATGGGGCTGGCCGGAGTGCTCAGGCTCCTCCTCTGCACTGCTCTCCCCGCCCCTCCCCTCCTCTCCTGTCTCTGCCCATTTTCCTTTTCCTTCCTTCCTTCCTTCCTTCCTTCCTTCCTTCCTTCCTTCCTTCCTTCCTTCTTTCTCTCCTTTCTGTTTTCTTCCCTCTGTCCATCTCCCTTGGTCTTTTCTCCTGCTGTCTCCCTCTCCTTCCTTTCCCGCTCCATCTCTCCCTCTCTCCTCTCTTCCTCTGCTTCTCTCCCCCTCTCCTTCCTCTTGCTCATGCTCTTCCCTTCCTTTCCTCCTGCCTCTCCACCTCCTCCTCCCATCTCCCTGCCCACGGTCTGGGCCTATCTAACTCCTCACACCTGGGCACCATTACTGCTGCTCTGAGGTCACAGCCCCTCCTGGCCTGCTCTTAGACTCTAGGACTTTTAAAACCCTGATAAAGGGATTTCTTTTCTCTTGCTTCCCCCTTTTATTTGGAAAATTCCGACATCACTGCTGTAAGTACTAAGACTACTAATACGAAGTACTTACTAGGAGGGAGACTTGGTGATTCCACCAGACTCTGCAACATTTACTAAACTAAATCAAGCATTCTCAGAGCTTTGAAAAAAATGGGGAGACTGTATTTTCTGGTGTGGGGTTCAAAACTAGGCCCTGTGTTTCCCAGGGCCAGTCACAAGTGACAGGGTCATTTGGGTGAACAAACTACTGTATTTGTGACTGGATCTATCTCTCAAACTGTCTTCCGGACTGTGGTTTTTACAGCCTGGTCCTTGGACCAACGGACCAAAGGGAGCAAAGCCATCAGTGCTTCTAGGGAAGGTTTTGTTTCTGTTTCTGTGTTCTTCCCGCTCCTCTCCTCTCCTCCCATCCTCTCTTCCTTTCCTCTCTTTTTTCTTTATTTCTTCCTTCCTTACTTCCACCCTGTCTCTCTGTCTCTCCTTCCTGCTTTCCTGTCTTCTTTTGCCCCAAGCCCACTGAGCTGGCAGGGGGGCAGGCTCTGCAGTGTGTGGCTGCCCAGCCCTGGGGACACAGATGCCCCTGCAGTTTGGGAGTCCCCACTGAAGTCAGACTCAGACTTCTCCTGGGCAGCATGGGAAACGCACAACGTAAACCAAATCAGACCGGGTCGAAGCCAGAAACAGCTCCAGTGCGGCAGAGCGGCAAGCCCGGGATGGAGCTCCTACACTGGGCTCTGAGTCTGGAATGGCTCCAAGGCCTGTGCATCACAGGCCTGGTCCCAGCCCAGGTGTCCCCTTCTGGGGGTGGCCTGCCCCTCCTCCCCTTGCCCTCTACAGTGTCTGACCTGAGATGAGTGGTGTACCCGGCCACATGACCCCACTGTGTCTTGAGCACGGACAGAAACCTCCCAGGCAAGACGAGATAAACCTTTCCTCTCTATAAACAGATCATCTCACATTTGTTACTGTGAGGGCCATCGAACACCACCCACACCCTAGGGATGGGAGGACCGAGATGACGGGCCAGTCAGGAACACAGCCGCCTCAGGCCCTGGGCCGAGCTCAGGGCTTGCCTGCTGTCCTCCTCCTTCATTGCACAGCCCTAAGGGACAACAAAGGCACAAACAAACACCAATAAATCTTCCGCAAAAAGTCAACTGTCTTTGTATAATTGATTTTTTTCTGCCAGTGCAGAAACTGAGAGCTTTCAAAATACACTTGGTGCAAGAGCTGGGGCATGTTCTGGGGTGCAGACACGACACTTAGGGTAGGCAACGCTCTGAGTGGGACCCCGGCATCCTAAAAGGGAGAAGACATGAGAGCATCTATCCCTGGTTGAGTTGGTTCGTTTGTTTTCACTTCCAAAGCCGCCACAGCACTTTTTCAAAATCTATCGAGATTAGAGGGACATTTACAACTGCAGCCTTACATATTTTTCCAAAATATAAAAAATAAAATGAAGGAAGGAGAAATGCAGTGGAAGAACGAAGAAAAAGGGAAAAGAAATGCATATGTATGCGTGTGTGCGTATCTTTAAGGGAGAAAAACAGATTTGGATTAAAAAAGAAACCAAACAAAGATCTTAGCAGACAGCTAATGCAGCACGGGTTTGCAAGCCGGGATTTCAGCCCTGTGAAATCACGACTGTCCTGGTTGTGTTTCAGGATGAGACAATAGAGATGAGGCCCAAGGGGCAGAGACCCAGCTCTGCGAAGGCAGAAAGAACCGCGCTAGCTAGCTAGCGGCGTCCGCACCCGGGTGGCCCAGGCCCTCGCGGCTCCGACCCGCCGCGCTGCGGCCACCAGGGGGCGCCCGGCCGCGCTCGGCGGCGCTGTCATCCTCTGTGTAAACAAGTTACGTCCGAGTGTTTAGGATATAAATTACGACCATGCCGGCTGCCTCGGGAGGAATGTAAACACAGCACTGTGGTCGGAGCAAACTCGGAGACTGACTTCATAATTTATAGCAGGCCCCCGAGGAGCTCGGTATGAAAGAAAAGACAAAAAAAAAAAAAAGAAAGAAAAAGAAAGCCCCATTTAAATGCAAATATGATAACAGAGAGACAAAAAAAATTTTTTTAAATCACTGCCTAATTTTGGAAAATACAAAAAGAAAGCTTGAGGTTTAGGAAGATGGTTGATTTCTGGGAAGCAAGATGCACCACCCCGGCCGAGCCTGGCCTGCAGCTCTCCGGGAGCACGCACCCCGGGAGCCGGCTCCGCTGCTGGGCTGGGAGGGAGACGACCTGTCGGGGCCACAAACCAAAGCGTGCTTTTCATTCAGCAGAGCAGAAGCAAAAGCAGGAGTCCAGCCCGAGCTGGAGAGAGAAGCACGCCTCGGGCGGCGGTGGAGAAGTGCTGGGTCCCGGAGCCCTGGCACCCACAGGCAGGGCGGCTGCCGGGCGCTTCTGCGTCCTCCCCGCCGCCGGGCAGCGCTCCTGCTGGGAACCGGGCGGAAAGGGTGGCGCGCGCGGCCTCCCGGCGGCCCCGGCCGGCCAGTCCCAGCCGTGGACCCCGGTGTCTGCCTGGGGGCGGCCGCCGCGGCGCTGGCAAGAGCGCAGAGCCCAGGCAGGAGTTCTGGCGCACGGGAAAGGGAGCCCCAAACGTGATCTCCTCGCCTCAGACCCTCGCCTCTTTTTATCTTTATCTTGCCTGGCTTTCTTCTGACCTTCTGATTTTTGTTTCGGCAGAAAAAGTGAGCGCAAAGCAGAGGAAAGAATAATAAAGGGCGTCCCCTCTTGTCTCTGGCTCCTGGGAAGACCCCCAGGCAGAAGCCGAGCTGTGCTCCTCCAGGCCCAGACCCCACCCCACGCGATGACACCACGCAGAGGGGGATGCGGGCAGAGCTACGGTGCTGGGGGAAGGGGCAGACCAGGCCGCCGATCCTGGAAGGAAATCGGTCCCTAAAACAACTATTTGTTATATACATTTTATTGAAAAAAATTTTACATCAAAATATTTTGGCAAACTGTAAAAGTATACATAAGTGCAAATATATCCTCCTTTTAAAATACAAGCAAAGTGTGAGTATACACGAAGATCATAAAAATATCTTTAGAATATGGTGGTAGAAAACAACCTTGTAAAAACGTCGTATTGGCACAATACTTAGAACCGCTTTCTTAAACTAGAGGCATTGGCTCTACATGGTTTCTTCATAGTGTTCTTTGGCATCTGTATCCAAAGGGGGTGTCTGGGGTGAACTACGCTCCTCTCAGCCGGGCAGCGTGATGAGGTTTTCTTGGAAGCCTGTGTTTTGCACACTGCCTCTTTGAAAAGCACACAAGTTTTCATAGATAAAGAAAACCACACATACACACAACTTGTCTGCTTTTCTCGGACCCTGATTACAGAAGGCAATGAAGATCCCAGAGTTACAGGTTTATTCCTTACGCTTGGCAACTTCTCAGCTCTCCTCTGTTTGGGGTCGATCTTCCTGGTCTGGGCATTACCTTGCCAAGGGCTCCGCCTCCTTCAGCTGCAGGCCACGGTCCTGGGGTTCTGCTAAGCAGTGGGGGTGCTACTTACTACTGTCCTGTGCACGTAGGGGAGTGTGTCATCTGTGGAAGTCGTCTCTTGGTGCCTATCCGCCCCTCAGCAGAGGTCAGGAGGGGAGAAGAGAGGAGAGGCGAGGAGAGAGGTGGCCTCGTCTGCTCACATGACGCAGGGCTTAATGTCCTGACACACGCTCTGGTGGTGGTGGTGGTAGTAGGACCCACTGGCCGAGGGGTGGAAGGAAGAAATGCCGTTGAAATTGAGGACAAAATCCTTTCTGTCGCACACTGGAGTGGAGTGATGTTGGTAACGGGGCAGGCCCACTGAAAGAAGAAAGGGGAAGAAAGGAAAATCTCTTCAGAGAGGCAGGCACCACTGACGGCCCAGTGTCCTGTTGCTGAAATGCCCTTCTGCGGTGTCTGGTTTTGACTCGGACTAAAGCAGTGGCGCCTTTGGATTCCTCGCTAAAACCCAGGAGGGAAACCCAGCTCTGCACGTGCCTTGGTTTCGCACTTTCAGCCTGACGCTCTGGCCATGCTTTTGCTTTGATTTGATGCACACAGAAGTCAGCCTGAGGTCCCCCTAAGGAGTGTTCTGTGCTCCTGACTTTCTGCGTCTCTCCTTTCATCTCTGGATGAACCCAGGCTCCCAGGCCCTGAATCCGAATCCGAATTGCTCAGAACCACAGTACTGCCCTCACCTCTTGAGTTTTATTTTCCAGTTAACTGACCCACCAGTGATTGAGGTGGTGTGAATTGTTCCCTGTGCCGAAGGATGGTGACAAAAATTAACCTCAGGAGAAAAAGAAAGGAAAGGACAGGAAAGAAAGCTGCAATCTCTCTTGCCTGCCGTGAGTCCTAAGGTTTTAGACTTCCACAGAGAAGCTAGGGTTTCAGAGAGCAGAGAAAACTTCCTTGGTTGGGGGCCTCTGGTGGCTGCAGGGGTGCCGAGAAAGCCTCAGGCTTGCAGCAGTGGACAAGGTCTGTCCTGGTCCCCAGGGCCACTCCTCTGCCCAGCCCAGCCTGACCCTGACACCCGCTTTTGCTTTTACTTTCTCCAGGGCCAGCGGTGCAGGAGGCCTGGGCTGCTCCGGGCTGGGGAGGCCCTGGCAGGGCTTTGCCCGTCATCCCAGCAGTGTCGATTGGCACCATGCGTTCCAGGCCTGACCTAGTTTTCCACTACAAGAAAACCATGCCTATGGTTACTGGGGCCTGGACCCTGTACCTGTGCCCGTGTGTCTGTGGAGCCACCAGGCTGCTGGTGGTGGCACCTGGGGGCCCTGCCCGAGCAGGGCAGCAGCCCATACGGGTGTCTCTGGCAGGTGCCTGGTCCCCAGGGTGCAATGTGGCCAAGGTTGGGGGAAGGGAACAGGGAGCCTCTGCAATGAGCCTAAAAAGGAGTTGTAGTCCAAGAGTGTGACCTGGGTGCTGTGTGCCTGTCCAGGGTCTCCAAAGTCTGGCAGGTGAGGTGCTCTACTCAGGCTCACTGTGGAGGAAGGGCGGAGGTGGGGGGCAGGAGGCTCTGGGAAGGACAAAGCCCCTGCTTCCCAGGTGACTGAGTTTTTCCTGGCCTGGGAGCAGGGCAGCCTCTCGGAGGGTCGGGGATTTGTTTCCCCCATGTCTCTCTCCCTAGAGCTTTCTGCAGCTGCCAACCTCCCATCTGGGTTCAAGTTGAGCAAGGCCTGCCCCAGGAGACATGGAGCCAAGCCCAGGGTCCAGCCCAGTGTGAAGGAAAGATTGACAGCCCAGAGAGGGGTAACGCTTTAGAAAAGAAAAAGAAAAAGAAGCGGTGAGGGATGTCTGTATGGGTTACTTCTCAAAATTCCCATAAAATGGAACAAGTCTGGGGGTCGCAGTGGGCTAAGTCAGCCCCCAGTCCTCTCCGTGTGGTCCTGCCTGCCGAGACTGTCTTTGTTTAGTTAACCTCTGAGACCTGCATTTAAAAGGCCTATTTGGGAAATTTCTCCATCCAGGGAACCTACATCTTGGACCCATTTCTGGCCCTGGCGCTCCAGTTGGCCTCAGAGTCGCAGCACAGACAACGGCCTGCATCACCCTGAGCCCCACGGTGCCACTGAGGAGGGCACGGAGGAGTGGGGCCCATGTCTAGGCCTTGTGTGTCTGCAGCCTGGAGGTTTTTAATCTGCGCCCCGCGGGTTAATGCGTAAGGGTCTGTCTCCACTCTCCAGATAAAGCTGAAGGCATATTCAAATTGTCTAGGATACCCCCACCCTGCCCTCCTTCCCACTGGTCCATAAAGTTTCCTAATCCGAACCCCCTTTGAACCAGCAAGAACACTGCTGCAAGCCGCCATGGGAGCACGGCTCTCAGGAAGCCTCAGGTCCCGCTCCTCCCTTGACCCCTGTGTATCAGCTGTGGTCCGAGGGGTGTGTGTGTGTGTGTGTGTGTGTGTGTGTGTGTGTGTGTAGGGGGAGCTCCCCTCTAGTGAAGGTCCCTGAAACCCTACTCTTCTTTCCCCGCTCTACCCATAGCCCAGCATACAAGAACACTCCCTCCTGAAATCCCAGAGACAAAATAAATGTTAAAAAAAAAAAAAAAAAAAAAGACAGGAGGAACCAGACAGTGCCTTTTCTTGGCAGAAGCCCCCACAGGCCTGTGTGTCTCTCCCGGCCCCGTCAGAGCTGAACTGGGGCACCCGTGAGCGCCAGATCGGCGGTGACTGCCGCATGCTCCCAGGAGCCCAGGGGCTCTAGGTTCCTGCAGTGCCCTCCGAAGCCCCTCCGACAAACACGCTTGCTCCCAGGGCCTCAGGCCCACCGCAGGCGTCCTTGGAGCCCCGTCCGCCCCAGTTACCTGAGAGGTCCTCGCGCGCGTTCTGGTGCAGGTAGCTCTGCTCCAGGGAGTAGGAGGACACGCTGGAGTGCAGACCGGCAGAGGCCGCGGGGTTGCTGCTGGGTGTGAGCGCGGGCGGCTGCTTGAGGTAAGGAGAGGCGCCGGGCGAGCTCCAGTGCGCCGCGGGGCTCGTGTAGGGCGAGTGGCACTCGATGGCGCTCGCCATGGCCGGGGACGAGGGCACCGGGCTGCTGCTACTGTCCGGCCCGTAGTCCCCGCCGCCGCCGCCGCCGCCCGCCGCCCCGACGCCCCCCGGGCCGGCGGGCACCGGGCAGCTGGCCATGTAGGTGGAGCCCGGGTTAGGCGACATGTGCGGGACGTGGTGGTGATGGTGATGGTGCGGGTGCGCGTGGCCCGGGGCGCCCGCGCCCGCGTCGTAGCCCGCGGGCATCATGTCGAGGCCGCCGTAGCCGCCTTGGCCAGGGCAGCCGAGCGGCGCGGCCGGGGGCGCCTGGAAGTCGAAGCCCTGGGGCAGCAGAGAGGCCCCGAAGCCCAGGCCGCCGACCACGCGGTGGTACATGGGCTTGAGCGCCTGGCACTTCCGCCTGAAGCCGCGCGGCCGGCGGCGGAACGAGCCTTCCTCGAACATGAACTCGCTGGCCGGGTCGATGGTCCAGTAGTGGCCCTTGCCGGGCCGCCCGAGCCCCTTGGGCAGCTTGATGAAGCACTCGTTGAGCGAGAGGTTGTGGCGCACCGAGTTCTTCCAGCCCTGGTAGGCGCCGCGGAAGAAGGGGAAGCGCGCCTGCAGGAACTGGTAGATCTCGCTGAGGGTCAGGCGCTTGCTGGGCGAGCTCTGGATGGCCATGACGATGAGCGCGATGTACGAGTAGGGCGGCTTCTCGGGCCGCCGCAGCCCCGAGCTCGCCTTCTTGGCGCCCGCGCCGCCGCCAGCCGCGCCCTTGCAGGCAGCCGGGGCGGGAGCGGGGGCCGAGGCCGGGGCCGGGGCGCGCGGGGCCGCGGCGGGCGACGCGGAGGACGCGGGCGCGCTCTCCAGGGCGGCGGCGGGCGGTGGGCTCAGCAGGGCGGCCTGCAGCGCGCCGGGGCCCGGGCTGCACGCGCGGCGGAGCGGGGCCGGCGGCGGGCGCGGCGGGGGCGGCGGCGGGCCGCCCTCGGTGGTCATCGGGACCGGGGAGCGGAGCGGGCGACGCCGGAGCGGGGTGGGCCCGGAGGCCGCGTGCGCCCTCGCCCGCCCGGGGCCGCTCCGGGCCGCGCTCAGCTGCTCCGGGGCTGCGGGCGGCGGCGGCGGCGCATCCCTCTCCGAGCCTGGGCGCCGCCTGGCGCGACCCCTCCCGGGCGGCTGCGCCCGGAGCTGGGACCGCGGCCGGGACCCCGGGGACTGCGCGACGTCTCCCCGCAGGAGCGCGGCTCGCTCTGGCTCCGCGACTTCCTCCTCCCGCGCGCCCTCCCGCGCGCCCTCCCCCGCTCCTCCCGCCCCACCCCGCCCGCCGGCCCGGCCCGGCCCTCCTCCCCGCCGCCGCCCGCCCTCTTATCTCCTCCGCTGTCCGCTCTCCAGGGTCCCCCGCGCTCCAGCTCCTCTGGCCGCCTCTTTCCCTCTCCCCACCCGCCCTCCTCCGAGCGCGCGGACCACGAACCAGCTCGCGCTGCGCCACCCCCACCCCCAGGGAAATCCAGCTCGGGAGCCCGGTGGCCGCCGCTTCCCGCGCCCCTGCTCCCCACCCCAGACCCCGGCCGCCCGGCCCGGGCCCGCCCCTCCCCCGCCCACCCCCTTCCCTCTCCCCTCCCCCCGCCCGCCCCTCCCCTTCCTTCCCGCCCGGCCCGGCCCGGCCCGGCCCAAAGGGTCCGCCTGCCCGGTGCCGCCCGGAGCCTCCTTAGCGGCGTCCCCAGTGCCCGAGCTACCCCCCGCTGTCAACCCCCTTTAGGCCCCGCGGCCTCGGCCGCACGCCGGCTGCCAGCCGCCCAAAGGTAAAGTGCCGTCCTCTCTCCTTCCGGAGAGGCCTGCGGCGCGGGCATTGGCGCGGGAGGACCGGCCTGCTCGCTAGCTGGTTTTCGGGTTGGGACGGAGAACCCCGAGCCCAGCGCGAGGGACTCGGGACACCGGGCCGCCCGGGACTCCAGCTGGCCTGCACCGCCACTTGCTTTTGGGTTTTCAACTCATGCTTTGTTCAAAGGAAAAGCGCAAAGAAGGCGGATGGAGGATAAGCGGGGTAGCTGTGTCTGCCGGCATCCGGGAGGAGGTGCGGCTGTCACTAGGGCTGCACCCTGGGTGTCAGCAGGGCCACCGGCGCGCGGGCTCCTGCTCTATTCTGCAGGACGCCTCCCCGCGAGGGCGCTCCGAGCGCGATGCGGCCCTGGGGCCGTCGTTGCCAATGAGCCCGACAGTGAGTTATTGGATTACACGTGCAGGGTCCTCTGACCCGCGGGCCGGGCCACACAGGGGCTGACGGGTGGGTGGCGGCCGGGCGGGGGAGCGCGGCAGCGCAGGGGAGGGGCGGCGGAGCCGGGCGCCCCTCTGCGCCTCCGGAAAGGAGCTCGGCGCGAGGGGTGTGTGCAGGGCAAGGGGACCAGGCTGGAGACCGTCAAATGGGTTTGCCGGTCCGGCGAAGGCTCTGGACGCGCAGCAGGGCTGAGCAGGCTTCCCGGGGCTGGCACCGCGGTCTGCGCCCGGCGGCGGGCACTGCTGCTGCTGGCGAAAGGGCTGGCGGGTCTCGCGGGCGAGGAGGGCGGCGCGAGAGGAGGGGGCTGGGCTGGGGCTGGCCCCAGACAGTGACCTGAAGTTGAGTGGAAGCAGGCTTTTTCCATCAAACCCAGCCTGGATACCACACACGGAGACCGAGTGTCAGTTTACTGCCCTGAGCCGGGCTCCTTTTCCCTAAGCTCCACAGTAATTAGACAAAGAAAACCTAAATTAGCTGAACAGGCGTCGACAGCTTCCTCCAGAGCACCCCTGGTACCTACATGGGAATGTGTCCGAAAATGGCCTGATTGTAGCCAAAAGTCAGCTAAGAAAACACCACCAAGTCGAACTCAGTTTACCACTCATTTCCAAGAGGAAAAAAAGAAACAAGTCACTCTTTTCCGGAAGGGATGTTTTGATTGGGTTGGGGAAGGGGATTTGCAGTTGTTTCCACCTTCTAAGAATTTCTTTCTGACCGATTGGTGAACATTTTAGGGGGACAGATCTGATTTATTTCATGCTGATTCTTTCCTCTTCTTTTGTCATTTTGCATGAAATAACTGAAAAATAAGTGACTAAATACAGAAGTAAATAGGTGCTTGCTAAATCAATGCTTCGAGTGTTGAAAATAATTACCTATGTAAAGCAGAGTGGGAGAGAGGGTCATATCCAAAAGGGACAGACACCAGGGTGTGTGTGTGTGTGTGTGTGTGTGTGTGTGTGTGTGTGTTTTAAATGGGAAGAGCATGCGGCCAGCGAAGGCCGAGGAGGAGAAGGAAGACAACTATCTCACTTGTAGGTGGGGGTGGTGAGAAACAGGTGTGGGGCACCTTTACCTGGTCAGTCTCTTTATCACCCAGTCTTGGACCCTCTGACACTTTCTGCCCCTGGGAACCGTAGTATATAACATCCCAGGGAGTACTGCTTAATACCAGGCCTCAAAAAAGTTTTAGGGCCCAGACTCAAAATTATAAGGCACTAAACTTAAAATCAAGGCAGAGCCAGAAATAACTTAGAAGTAGCCTACAACAGTAGTTCTTGTTGTGGGGTCAGAGATCTCTTTAGGAATAGACGGAAGCTGTGGAGCCTGTCTCTACAAAAAATAACTCCAATTGGCACGGGATTTTAAGGGGAGTTAGTTATAGATTTCCTTTGAAAAAATCCCAGTCTGTCTGTGTTTTTAGCTCCTACCGATTCAACTGGTTAAACTGTGAGAGATTTTTAAGGCTTTCTACTCCGTTCCAGGTAACAATGGTACTCACTTCACGTAGCTTTCTAAATTCACAAGAGATCTCACTTATGAGGTGGTTCCTCAGCCAGGCCCCCCAGAGCCAAGGGACTTCGAAGAGAGCAGGGGCCAGGGGCTTGGAGCCTGGTTTCTCTCCAGGGGTTTAGAAGCTTCTGCAGTTCACAGGCCCTGAACTGCAGAAGGACAAGAGCCTGATGACCTGAAGACACTGAACAGGAAGGGCGCTCCTCCAGACCTTCCTTGGAGACCTTGCTGCTGCTGCCTGCCCCGCTGGCAGGGTCCCCTGCAATGTCTGTCCCCAAGCCAGCCACGACTGGCCAGTGCTGCAGCTGGCTTATGGAGGGGACTCCAGATTCAAGTCTCCTTTCTCTATCTTGCAGCAAAACCTTCCCAAGCTTTGATTTCATCACGGGCAGCTATGAACCCATTGGGTAGGAATGTGTTTAACAAACCAAGTCTTATCCTTTCCCCTAGTGGAGTATCAATTTCTGGTTAGCAGCATTTATTTACTGTTTGTTTGTTTTTGCCATTTTGGTGGCGCTGGGGGCTGACCTGAGGCTCGCTGTATGCTAAGCAGGTGTTCTGCTGTGGTCTACACAGGGTCCAGCAGGAAGAGTTTGAAAGCAAATTCGCGTTTGCCTCTGAAACGCAGCTTTGTTTCGGCCGGTTTTCTGTTCCTGGAGCTCGAGTCTTACAGTCGGGATCTTTCCTCCATTGACTTTCACTTCCTGTAAACAACAAAAATTTTGATTTTATTTTTTTTACCAGAAGAAAAGGTAGAGTTCATCTGAATGAATCGGGATCAGTCCGGGTGCTTCTTGGTGAACCAGAACACAGCCCTTGGCTGCGGGGAGATGGGTCCCCTCCTCCACTCCGGGCTGGTTGACTGTCTAGGTCTGGGTTTCTTCTCCTGCTCCAAACCCGTGGGTCCACCCCTGCCCCCGCACAGGGGAATGTAAACTGCACCAAGCTTGGGTTTCTCTGATTTTGTTCTGTAATCGGTGTTTTATTCTAGGAAATCTTTTCATTATTGCGGCTTAAATCTTATGTTTTCGGCATCCTTCCTCTGCTTCGTGGGTTTTACATGAAATGGCTTAGACTAAACCAGTTAGTGACAGGACAGACACATCTGTCGCGACAGTTTATGGCTGTCATCGAAGACAGCTTGGGGCGGTCGGCGCCCTACACCCCTCCCTTCCTTTCGCCTGGACTGGGTCAGGAAAGCTTGTTCCCAATTCAGTCTGAAAGTGACCACCATTTTGAGCCTTATTTAGGCACCAAATGTCCTGGTGAGAAGACTTTTGAACCCCCAGGAGAACTTTTTTTTTTTTTTTTTTTTTTTTTAGTTCTGGGACCGAACTCACAACCTTGTGGGGCTGGTGCTTATCCCCCTGAGCTAAATTCCCGGCCCAGCCCAGGAGGCCTTTCTAAGTGTGGAAGTGGGAGCTGCCGAGCACTGCCGCACCAGAGGTGTGGATGTAACTGAAGACCCTGCAGAGGCCTCTCTGGAAGCTTCCAGCTGCAGGAGAAAACGTGCTGGCCCTGAGCAGCTAGGCTGGGCTGGTGAGGGACTGGTAAGGGAGGAGGAGTAACTGGAAATTTTACCCCCTGGCATCTTCGAACCCTCCTCTGCCCAGAAATCTCCAGATCGGAACACCAGCTACCCAGTTCAGAATGTTTGTTCGATTCTAATTCTTGTGTTCTCCAACCACTGGTGTCCTGGGCAGAGCTCTTTTTAGAGCTGCCCTCCTGAGATCTGCAGAGCCCGGGTCTCCATGGTTTGGCTGTGGGTGACTCCCTGACCCTCTTGGACCCTGCTGGATGGTCTGATGTGTGTGGAGAAAGAAGGAAAGGTCCAGTCTACCCCTGTGCGGAGCGGCCTCTTCTTATGGCTGTGCTTCTGGGACTGTGAGCAGAGGTCTGGTTGATGCGGAGAGAGAAGCTCCCAGGAGCCCGCCCCACCTGCAGTGCACCCCAGCCTGACTGTGCTTGCTTAGGCTTGGGAGGCAGCATTGGGCCAGGCGAGGCAGGACTTGGCCTGCAGCCTGCCGAGTGTTTTTTTGGTACCAGGGCTGAATTGCATAGAGGAAGGTTCTTGTGGCAGAGAGCGCTCCTGGGACTTAAAGGCAGAAAAAGGAGGCCGCAGCTGGGGTGGAGCAGTCTATGGGGAGTAGGGGACCAGGACAGGGTCCTGAGGACCCCTGGACCATGCCCTCCCACACCTGTCATGCTGCTGGAGCCAAGGACAATAGGCAAGCTGGAGGCCCCTCTTGGCCACCCAGGGCCTGGTGGGGCACTGGGCACAGATGTCAGGGCTGAAGGCTTCGGAAAGCAGAAAGCGTGGAACAACGCACCTGGAGGTCCCAGCCACAGGCAGGGCCAGAGGAGAAGCTGTGTTGCAGGCTCTCAGCGAAGCGCCCTGGAGGTGCTAACCCAGCTACCCAGCTACCCAGCTTTTCTATCTATCTGGTGTCCTCTCCCCATGCCAGCCCTCCCTCAGATAAATAAATATCTCCTGGGGCAGTGGCCTCGGTGGGGCGCCGGCCCCTC